ACCTCAGATTGAAAAAATAAAGTCCATGCCAATGATTTTTGTTTTGTCCTCATTTTTTAATGAAATTTTATTTTATTTTTTTATTTCACTTCACTTCACTTATTTTATTTTATTTGAGCCAGAGTCTCACGCTGTAGCCCAGGTTGGAGTGCAGTGGCATGTTCAGGGCCATTGCAGTCACGATTTGCTGGGCTCAGCCGATCCTTCTTCCTCAACCTTCCAAGTAGCTGGAACTACACACATGCCACCATGCCAGGCTAAGTTTTTGGTTTATTGTAGAGATGAGGTCTCACTAGTTTGTCCAGTCTGGTCTTGAACTCAGGGGCTCAGACAATCCACTTGTCTCCACCTCTTAAAGTGTTGGGTTTACAAATGTGAGCCACCACATTTGGCCATAATTTTTAAATTAGAGAATGAAGTCTTATTATATTGTTCAGCCTGATCTTGTACTACCTGCCTCAAGCGATCCTCCCACTTGACCTCGCAAAGTGCTAGAATTACAGGCTGAGCCACCGTGCCCAGCTATCCCTGTCCCTCTTTTCCACATCATCTGTTAATATCTGCCTCAAATTGCAATGGATGTGTTGTTATAGGGATCATTATCCTTCGAAGATGTGGCTGTGTATTTCACCAGGGAGGAGTGGCAGTTTTTGGACGCAACTCAGAAAGTCCTTTACAAGGAGGTAATGTTGGAGAACTATGGAAACCTTGTGTCAGTAGGTAAGGACAGCATCCCAGTCAGTTACCTTTCTTTTTCATGTAGCAAACTATTTATGGTCCCTTGAATATTTAAAGATTTGGACTAAAGGTATTGCATATCATAGAATTTTTTATCTTCTTTGTGGTAAAGCATGCATAACATAAAATGTACCATCTTAACTGTTTTTAAGTGTGCAGTTCAGTGGGATTAAATGCAAATTAAATGCAGTCAATATTGTATGACCAGCATTTCCATTTGTCTTTATAACTTTTTTCATCTTATAAAACTGAAACTCTGTTCCCATGAAACAGTAACTACCCATTCTTCCCCCACTATCCCCTAGTCCCTGGCACCCATTGTCCTAATTTCTGTCTTTATGATTTTGACTACACTAAGTATCTGATGTAAGTGGAATAATACAGGATTTGTCTTTTTGTGACTGACTTATTTCAGTTAGCACGATGTCCTCAAGGTTCATCCATGTCGTAAAATGTGCCAGTATTTACTTCCTTTTTAACATGAATAATATTCTTTTGTGTGTGTGTATGTGTGTGTGTGTGTGTGTGTGTGTGTGTGTGTGTGTGTGTGTACATGTATGCCACATGTTACTGATTAATTTATCTCTTTTTTTTTTTTTTAAAATTGGAATCTGCTCTGTCACCCAGACTGTAGTGCAGTGGTATGCTTACAGCCACCACAGCCTCAACCTGCTGGGCTCAGGTGATCTTTTTGCCTCAACCTTCCAAGTTGCTGAAACTACAGGCACACGCAACCACGCCTGGCTTATTTTGTGATTTATTGTAGAGACAGGGTCTCATCACATTGCTTAGGCTGATCTCAAACCCATGGGCTCAGGCAGTCCTCTCACCTTTGCCTCCCAAAGTGCTGGGATTACTTGCTTGAGCCACTGTACCCAGCCTCATTTGTCTGTTAATGGATACTTGGGTTGCTTCCATATTTTCGCTCTTGTGAATTATGCTGCCATTAACATGGTTGTGCACATATCTTATTGAGACCCTGCTTTCTAGTCCTTTGGGTATATACCCAGAAGTAGAATTGCTAGATATCATGGTAATTGTTAATTTTTTGAGGAATTGTTTTGACAGCAGCTGTACCATTTTACATTCCCACCAAGGGTATACAGTGGTCCAGTTCCTCTACATCCTTGTCAATACTTACTGTTTTCTCTTTTGTTTTCTTTGATGGTTTCCATCCTAACGTGTATGAGGTATGTCAAAGACTCTTATTTTCCTTCTTGACCTAAAGTATATGCACCATTTTCCCGAGTAAAAGGAGTTTAGTGTTTACTTTATCAAAGTATAATTGATATGGTCCCTGAAATGTAACTCTTCTGTCTTCATATATTTTCCCAAGCATATATACTTAGTGGCAAGTGTTCAATGATTTCCTGTTGACAGGGTATCAAGGTACCAAACCGGATTCACTCTTCCATTTGGAACAAGGAGAACACCCATGGAGGATGGAAGGAGCAGCCCATAGTCGAAAGTGTCCAGGTAAGTGAGTGAAAAACTAGGAAACTGATGAGGAATTGAAGGGTTGACACTTCTGAAATCTTGTTTAGAGAAACTTTCGTATACTAGTTGATGACCTGCAAACCTAATCAACACCTCTGTGTGTCTCTGTTCATTCCTAATGGGGCTCTTCTTTGTCTGCTATCAAGGATGATATCTTCTTTTTTTCTATTTTCTGGATCTGATTGCATACAGTCCATCTCATCAAGGACTGATTTCTCACCAGTCTCCATTCTTCCCAGCCTGCTCTGGCTTCTCAGCTCCTGTTCTCTTCCTTACTTGCCTTGAAATTCCCTTCACTACCCACCTAGATCAATTCGGTCTATGCATCACTCCCTCTGAAGACATAGCCTTGTCCCTTTTAAAGGGCTGATTTTATTTCCTGATAAATGCTTCACTTTAGTTCATGTGAAAGTCCCTTACACTTCATCTCTTAGAACACCTCTATCTACTTATTCACATGCCACACCCCTGCCTTCCTAGCTTCTGATTTTTTATCTCCTGCTGATTGTTCTATTAAAAGTTTAATTCACTCTCAAGACCTCAGGCCTCTCTGTTCTCTACTAGAGTCTCCCAGATTGACATCTCTGCTACTCTGAATGTCTAATCACTTCACTCACTGTATGTTGCCAACCACTAGGACAGAATTTCTCCACCCTTTATGTGAAAGTTGAATTTTTTCTTCCAGATATTTCTGTCATCATCGAGTATGTTTATATATACTAAAGACTGAAGCTCTTCTGAGAGATAGCCTCACGTATACACTTGCCCTTAAATTCTGTATTTTGCCTGCACCCAGAACAATTATCCTGTGAATGCTTCTTTCTTCTGCTTCAGTGTTAGAAACTGGTGTCATCTTTCCTCCTGGGAAATCCTTTACTCCTTGTGGATTTTATTTAAGTTCTGTTATGTTGCTGTACACTCTGATGTCCAGTCACCTTTAAGTCGCTTTGAGTCTTTCCTGTTGACTATTCTACTTCTGAAGGTCTCTGCTACTCCTATTAATTTTTATTGTTTTGAAAAGGCTTTTTGAAAATTTAACCTATTTTCGAAAGTGACTTGCAGTGGTGCTCCCATTGCTACATACGCTGACTGGTTTCTGTTTTTCTGTTAATTCCTTTTGATGTTATAGCTACAATTCCCTGTGAGTAGTGAGCACTAAAGCCATGAAACTTGAGGAGAAGATGTGAGGAGTGAGTGTTGGTGAAAAAGCAAGAGGTCCGCATATACAGAGAGATTTAGATGAACCAATGAAGTAGAATAAGTGTCAGGACCAGGGTTGGTGAGTTGGAAGATGTCCCAGAAACAAGTGACAGAATTATTCCCAGGAGGAGGAAGTAAAATGTTTTATTGAATGCTATAAATAATGTCAAATGACATGAGGACTGACATCAGTCCCTTTGATCATGTTACATTTTTACTTCCAGATACTTCCCTTTTCCACTGTTAGCTCTCGTTTGTATATCCATGAAGTAGTTTTGGCTACTCTAGGGCATTCTGGGAACTCCCACCTTCCTGACTTTTTTCATCTTTGTATCTACGCCGCACTGACTCAGCAATGGTCATGCATTCTATGTGTACTATTTTACTGGTTGGTGTGAGGCTACTCTTTCCACATAAAGAAAAGTATCTGTGTCTTATCCTTCTTTATTTAGTAAAAAAATGGCTTAAAAAGTATGAATTTGCTTTGGTTTGTCTTTTGGTAGTTCTAGAGGGTCTTGCTTGATAGCTGGGTAGTAGCATTGTAATTATCAGAAGGTATAGCTTGGGATTCTAGGATAAATGTTAAAGAAGGCAGGTGAATGTTTTTTTTCTGGATGGGGAGTGATTCCTTAAAACTTCTTAATTGATGGATTCCAGAGATATGATTGAACAGAGGTTAAGGAAGAATGTGGTATTAGCCGAAAGAAGACAATTTGGGGATGACTGTTTCAAGATTATAATGGGGAATACAGGATTTAAAATTTTTGAGAGGATTATGAGGCATTTTTGTATAATGCATGGCTGTGCAAAGGGAATTGTCAAATGGACAGGGGCTGTTTTACACATGTCTCAGAATAAAGTCTTGATGATGGTCTATACCTATGTGACCAGTGTGTTGGGCACTGGTCATTTGTATTTACTTAAATTTAATTAAAATTAAAAAAATTAAAAATTTAATTCTGTAGTAACCCTAATGACATTCAAGTACTCAATAACCACACAGCCTAATGGCTACCATGTTGTAAAACAGATATAGAAAATTTCCTTCATAGGAGAAGGTTCTGTTAAGTGGAGTTGGACACAGTTGCAGTATTATCATTATTATTATTTTTAGTTGGAGTCACACTCCATCGCCCTGACTGGAGTACGGTATCACACTCACGTCCTCCCCAGTGATGACCAGCTGGGCTTCAGCAATCCTTCTGCCTCAGCTTTCCAAGTAGCCAGAAGTACAGGCATGTGCTACCATCTGCCTCAGCCTCGCAAAGTGCGGGATTACAGACTGAGCCACTGATCCCGGCAAATTACAGTATTATTAAA